AACACTGAATCAATTACAGAATTTTTGCCAACACTTGCTGAAATCTTAAAATGCTACAAGTTCACCAGGGAGTGCAGAAGTATGTTCTGCCCTCCACCCCATACAGATGCTGGCACATCTGGGAGCCCCATTGCTGAAGCAGAGAGGGCACACATCATCACTATACTAAGAAAATGAAAGGTTCAGCCCTCCACCCTGGAGCTGAGCCCTGCTCAAGCATTTCCTGAGGAATGAGAGGCTGGAAGGCAGCTCCAGCTGGGAAGGAACACACATGATCCCAGCCAACACCTTCTCCCTCCTTATGTCATTTTTCCAAAGACAGTTGCAAAGACGAATCCCTCCTGTGCAGACCTGAGTGTCTTGGCAGTTCCTGCACACTCACAAATACACCCCCTTCAACTGCCCTATCCAAGAGTATGGCAGAAAAGGGAGCATCCCAACATTTGTGAAAAAGTGAGTGCCGAGGGCACAGCTATTCCTACGATCTGAGGGCAGATGCTTTTAAACCAGGGTAGTCCTACAAGACCAAAAACGTGTGCTGTGCCAATCTAGGCACTGATCTGGGACAAGCATTTTGGGTGACAGGGAGCTCTGGCTACTGGAGTATATCCAGGCTCCTTGTAATGAGTTATGAAAGAGATACAGGATTGAGCAAGTGATCACCTTTTCTTGCTCCTGCAAATCATACTTTCCAACACAGAGATGCAGCTTAGATAGAGTGCAATGTTCACCAGAGGCTGGCATTTTGGGGTTTGGATCCTCTTTCTGAATCTGGGTTACATCCCTGGAGGAACAAAACAAGTTCTCTCACTGCAGCCCACACCATCACATTTGAACTGTCAGACAAAACCAGTCTCAACCCCAGCTTTTTCCTCAGGCATAAAATGCTTATTAAGACACCATTTTAGTAGTCATAAATGTATAACTGTATTGCCTAATCAAATGTGGCAATGATAAAGCAATATAATAGCTAGATCTGAGACATAAAAATATCCACTAGGCATAGCTCTACTGAAAACTGTTCACTGCAAAGTCTAACTAGATACAGTGGAAATTTGTTCTAACATTGATATGAGGCAGGAAAAAAAAAACAATCCAGTGTTAGGACACAACAACTCAATCTCAATGTCAGCTCTACTCTGACACCAAGTAACAAATAGGAGCACCGAGTGCAAAATAGCCTTAATTGCACTTTTGCTACACACTGAAGCATTTGTACAGAAAGTGACATTTTTCCTATTATGAGAAAAAGCTTTTTACAGAGCTTGCTTAAATAAAGTGAACCTCATTTTTTTCCTCTCCTGTTCTTCTACACTGATTTAAAAGCACTTCTTGGTAGGGCACTAGTAGGTGTACTTGATGGTCTCTCATATTACAGTGATGTATCTCAGCTTCCTCCTCCAATAACAACAAAATTCAATGATGAAGATTTCCTCTCTGATCAATTGCCACCAAAACTTCTTGGTACCAGCAAGACAATTAGCCCCTAAATGTTTGTGTGATGTTTCTGTCAGACACAAGATGAAAAAGACTACTGCAACACCCCAGAAGCTGGGAATACATTTTGCTTCCCTTAGACAGAATGGCAGTCAGTGCAGAAACTGTGAGCCTTGCCAGTGTCACATCTAACTGTTTTCTTCCTGAAACTTTTAACTTGGATGCATGATAAATTAGGTTTTAAAATTACAGATGCTAATCATGTATTGTTCAGATTCAGCTGCATGTTTTCTCTCTTCCAACTTAGTGAGAAACTGGCATTTAAGTGATTCTTCCTAATACCAACAAGTTATTACTTCACCATCCTGTGGCAGAGGTTTATGTTTTCTTACAACGACAAATAAACCAACTCCATCCAAGGTGCTCCAATGCTAATACTGGTCACCCTTCATTATTTTGCAGGTAGTCAGAAAGAGACATATTATTTTGATGGAAAATTTACAGAAATTTTACCAGAAAGTTAATGTCAATATTAAATTCAGATCCTGCATGCTCTAATACAAAGAGACACTAACTGCTGCAAAGATATATAGATATACATTAATAAACAGAAACTCATGACATACAAGCCAAAAGTGGCAAACAAAGAAGCAACGTCCCTCAGTGGAGTCTCATTGTCACGGGGAAAATTCTCATCCTACAGACACACAAAAACAATGTAACTATACCCAGTCACCACTGGGCATAAAATGAAATGTCATTTACATTACATGCAACTCTAGCAAAATACATGTCAAATTTCACCATTTCCCAAAGTTTCTTACTAGTAATGCCAGAGAAAAAGACAAATAGGAAGCCCATAAACATTCTGTATGTATATGAATACTGTTAGACACACATACACAGAATAAGTTAAACTTTTTTCTTCAAACCAGCTATACTAATTACTGAAGCAAGCTGTAGGATATCAGTGTACTGCAAGCATTGTTCAACAAGTTAAGGAAAAGTTACGTTTTCAATTTCCAAGAGGAAGGGTGGTGACCTATAAAGTTGTAAAGGAAACCACTCACAGAATTATTTCAATAGCCTTGCTAAAAACAGCCCCCTGGAATTATAAGAGTCTCTTCCTCATCCTGCTCAGAACAATTGGGAAATTATAGATCATTTAAAGTACATTAATACACTAAAAAATAAAATTAATGCCAACAAGCAAACACAAAAACCCAGTTCTCACTCATGGAATTGCACTGCTCATTTCTCTGATTTCTCAGGTACTCGCATCTGGATTTAGCTACTGGAAAGAGTGCCCCAGAATATATAGCAGGTATACTTAAAGTGTGTTAGAGATACTGAATGGTGACTCTCTTCCAAAGACTTTGGGGACACTTTTCAGTTTATCCTAAAATCACTGGGAAAAGGTTTAACTTAAGACAAAACAAACACTGATTGCTAGAAGCTTTGTGTGAACAACATCAGAGTGGATTTGACATAAATAGTGATTTTTCTTTCTTTCCAATATGATCAGAGCAAATCTAAAATAAGCACTACATAAGCATTTTTTACATGCAGGACAATGAAAAAAGCAAGTTTATATTGTCTACTGTGATTTATCCTACAATATATTAATCACAGGGCTTTATGTGATAAATGTGGCATCACATTCCCTCTTAACCCATGATTTAATTATCTGCACTGAACCCAGCAAGGTAAAGCATACTGTTAACTGCACTTCAGTAGTCATGGTGGGCATAAAAACAAGGGAGGGGAAAGTTTTACCAAAAAAAGCATTGTGTCACACAACAGACCAGCCATTACTGCACTAGCAGACACTAATATAGCTACTTACCTTGTCCTCAATAAATACACAGCTGCAAATACTTGGGATACAAAACAATGTGTGCCTTAACTGATCCATGGCAAAGAAGCAGGACTTAAAATCTCCCAGATCACCTCCTTCACAAGCTCTGGCCTTATCCTCTGCATTTCAGGACACTAATTTTTTATTAATGCAGTTGTTGTCCCTGGGCAGGTAATGAAGAGCAGCATGCCAGGAAACAAGTTCACTGGGCAGATAGCTCTGCAGATATATGAAGGCTCTCTCCAGAGAGAATCAGCACAAATTTTACACAATGTAATTAGCTACAAAATTCTACACTATTAATACAGGTGAGGGAGGAGGATTCATGTCCAGCTTCTGGTTCTTTCTGTATCATCTTATTTCTGCTTTGCAGAGTCCAGGAATGTAGAGCAATGAAACTAATTTACTAAGAAAGTGACAGATCATGCATCTCTTTTCCTCCTTGCTCATGTTTCTTTTTTATAACACAGAAGATACATCCCCTTCTCCCAAAGCTTGATGATAATAGGTATCAGATATCAACAGATTAATCAGATTTTCTATCACAGATATCTCAGTGATAGAAAATCTGATTAATTACACTCGGTTTGGGATATTTTAACACTGAAATGTGAAAGTTTAAAAAAAATCAAACCTAAGGTAAATATCACTTCATTCAGAAGGAACTCCACTATCCACAGTCCACAGTGGACTGGAGGTGAGGTGAAATTCGGAAATAATTAAGTTTATTCAGGGAAATACAAGATTCTGCAAGTAATTATTAAAAGCACCCATGAAAGATAGGACAGCATAGCTCCAAACTCACACAAAAAGTATCTGGCAATGCAGAGCATACTGTTTTTAAAAAACTACAGCAGAGCACTGCACAACCAGCTAGAATTCGGAAACTTGCCTACAATCTGAGACAAGTCCTTATGCTCCTTTCTCCTGAAGCCATTGTATGTTCTTATGTGGCCACAATAATGGTGTTTCCAGAGCATACTGTTTTTAAAAAAACTACAGCAGAGCACTGCACGACCAGCTAGAATTCAGAAACTTGACTACAATCTGAGACAAGTCCTTACATTCTCTTCTCCTGAAGCCGTTGTATGTTCTTATGTGGCCACAATAATGGTGTTTGGCCCTTGCAGCAGGTACTGAACTCCAGCACTTTTCTCAGCGGTTCATAGGTTAAAGGTGGATTTCTCTTTCCCACCGCTGCTCAGCCCAGTGGGCACCACACCAGGGCTCCCTACAGCCGAACTGGCTGATTCTCCGGCTTTGGCAGGTGCCCTGAACAGTACCACAGAGATCTGCAGGTGACACTGACCTCGCTGACAGGAACACACTGAGCTCGCCAGCACTACTCTTATTCACAGGTTGCCATTTGGCATTCAATCTACACGCTACGTTACCAGAAGCGCCCCGCTTCCTCTTGATTTATGACTGAGTTTTGCAGGAGGCTCCTGTTATCAATCCATGGTGCGCCTCCAGAGCGGGGACAGTGCCCGGTGGGCAGCACATGCCGGGCAGGGCTCTGCCAGCCGGCGCGTCACACACAGCCAGGCAACGCGCACGGTTCCGTTTCTGGCCTTGCCAGAGGGAAGTTTACTTATTTAAGCACACCCCGAGCCGTTCTGTCGTCTCGCTGCCCTTGCCCTGCTTCATTCCCCGCACGGGGCGGTGAGGCCGGGTGTCCCGCCGCTGCCCGGTCCCCCCTCGGTACCTTCCGGAGGGCTTCCCGCAGGTCGCGGTGCTGCGGGGTGTCCCCGGCGTGCCGCGGCCCCGAGCTGCGGCCGCGCAGCGCCCAGCCCCGGCGGGCCCAGCTCCCGCCGGCGCGCAGCGCCATGGCCCCGCCGGTTCCGGCGCCGGGCAAGGCCGGGACAGCCGCTGCACTCCGACAGCAGCCCGGGGCACCCGGCAGCCCCCGCCCCGCCCCACCCCTCCTCCCGCTCCTCTCGCCCCCGAAGCAAGTCACGGCAGCTCTCGGGTTACGGGCAGCTTTTCTTTAATGCCAACGAACAGCCATGAAGCGACCGACAAGCGGGTGGCGAGCGGGCCCCGCGCAGCGACAGAGGCCGGCCGCGGCGGGGAGCGGGGCACAGCCGGCCCGGCCCAGCGGCCGGCGCGGGGCTCGGCAGCTTTCGCGCGGTTTCTGTATTTTTGTAAGGAGAAATGGAAAATAAAAAGAAATCCGCTCCTGTGCTCGCTCGGCACGGACTGGCGGCGGTGGGGACACGCTAGTCACTCCCTACGGGTACGGGAGGAATGCCTGCTCCAGGGGCAGGCGCGGGGCTCCTTCTCCTAAGCGATGACACAGCCTCCCTTCTCCTTGAAGGGGTTCTTGTCCTCGGGAACCCCCTTCACCAGCGGGTCCTCTCCCGACCGCTCCTCGATGTAGTTCTTGATCTCTTCGGAGCACTTGGAGACCTCGAGGGAAAGGACAGAAAAGTGGCTTCGTTACGGTCTTGGGAAATGTTCAACAGAGGAAGAAACCCATGAATTTATATTCTCTCTCATTCACCTTCCCACCGAGCATAAAATATCTGGCCACAGAGCACTAAGCACGTGCATGCTCAGCTTCCTTTCTCTCTTTTCACAGCCTAATACTGACAGAACATGTGAGTACATCTGAGAATGTAAACACCACTCCGAACAGCCGTCGCTGCGTAGTTAAACTTGTGTTCATAATTAGCCAATCTAGTTTTATTAAGCTGCAGATCACACTCTCCCTCAGCATCAGCATGACTTATGGTCAATAGTTTCAGGGTCAGTAACTTTCAATTCAGTTTCAAAGTAATTATGGCTTTATGTGTTTTTCACAAACAAAACATTCAGCAATGATTTTTCAGTGGTAATACCAATTCTTACTTTGTAGTTCTACTGTAGCAATGATGCACCTTGAATGAGAGCCTAACCAGGAAAGACAATTTATTTACTGGTTACCTGGGGTTATTTCAAACAATGGTTAATAAAAGAGCCGGTTGTGTTTTGAGACCATAACACTTCCCATAGTGTTCATACCAAACCAGCACTGATGTAGGTAAGCCTGCACAGAACCCAGCTATGAAGAGGAAGAGTGTTTAGTTTCTGTCCACTGACACAAAAGCACATGCAGCACGTGTGGTAGTGGTGTCTGGGAGTGCACAAGTGAACATCGGGGGCTCCTGAGGTTCCTTGTGCACACACATCTCTTGCTCTCTGTGTCAGCAGAAACTGTCCCTATATGCACAAATAGCTGACATGCCTGAGGACACACTCCTGCTCTGTCCCCACCTCCTCCCTGCCTACCCGCAGGCCCTGCAGTGGTACTGCTGTGCAGAGTCAGCAGCAGGAACCAGCTGTTGGCCAGGCTGCTAGATGATTAGTATTTCTAATTGAAGACCCCTTGCCTCCTCTGTTAACTATATTTTATTTCAAAGGTAAAACTACAACAAGAGAACAAATGAGTTTACCTGCTGCATCACAAACAACAGAGAATGGCCTGTGCAAAATTAAGCTTTAAGCCAACAGAAAGAACAGAGTTAATTCCCAATTAAACAGTGCATAAAATAAGATCTAGCTGCCTTAGAGCAAAGAAGAAGCTGGACCTACAAATCCCATTACACGTGTCTTGTTTAAAATATATAAAACTATATTTTATTTCAAAGGTAAACTACAACAAGAGAACCAATGAGTTTACCTGCTGCATCACAAACAACAGAGAATGGCCTGTGCAAAATTAAGCTTTAAGCCAACAGAAAGAACAGAGTTAATTCCCAATTAAACAGTGCATAAAATAAGATCTAGCTGCCTTAGAGCAAAGAAGAAGCTGGACCTACAAATCCCATTACACGTGTCTTGTTCTTCTGTGCCCTGCAAACTTTGTTCACTCAAATTGGAGCACCTAACACCATAGTACAGTTGCATGCCAAAGTATATGAAATACCAGGGTTTTACTTCAGTCAGCAGTGCCAGGATCACTTTCACTACTAAGAAAAGAAGCCTGCTTAAATACATACGTAGAAATTTTTATTCATTCCAAAGGCCACTTCCTTTTTATTTCGTAAAGTTGTTAGTGGGGGTCAAGAAAATTTTGGCTGATGTTTTTCTTTTGGTACCAACAGTAATGTGGTTCCTGCATTTCCCAGTCCCTGTAACACCCATACAGGTACTAGGGGACTGTGGCAACTACAACACCGATTTCATTCTCACAGTGAAACTTCTGTTACAATGCACTGGTAGAATTAAGCATGCTTTACCACAGAAAAATTGAAAAATACCCATTTTCAAAAAGTGATCGGGGTTTTGGTTTATTCCGAAAATGTGGAAAAGTATTAAAAATTATTATTATTATTTCCAAAACTTTATATTCTGCAGAGTGTATTTCAGTTGTCTAAGAATCACCTCTGAGAGATGATATAGGTATCCACACTAGTTGGATGTTGAGCCTTCAATACTGCTGGAGCTTTAGACTATACTGTAACATCAATCACTGATACCTAACTCACAGCTAAAATATAACTCCAGCATTTTTATTTTTGGGGTAAAACCTGGACCTTCAGTGTAATCAACATGATTAATGTTACTGATTCCCACATACAAATGTATTTGGTTCTAACCTGAAGGGTTTGTTTAGGCGTAATTTGCCTCTGCTGGCATGCAGAATTAAAAAAAAAAATTAGTTTCATCATGCAGCAAGATCAGTTCTGCACATCTTTCGTTTACAGAAAATGTACAAAACCACAAACCTTTAAGGGGAAAGTACTTGTGGGAAGGAACAATCAGTGTAAATGTCTAAATGCCTACGGAACAAGGCTGGATAGGTCACGGCTCGACACGGGCCGTGCTTTGGCTCCTGCCTGGCACTGCACGGCATGGGAAGCGGGACGGGAACGCGGGCAGCCGAGACCCGGCTACGGTCCAGGCAGGGTGTAGTGCCGCGACAGGGCTCTCCGGGCTTCCCAGGGGAGCACCACCCCTCCCCTAGAACCAGCACCTCCCTGCGCCTTCTGCCTCCAGAAGAGGGGAACAGAGCGCGACGTGCTCCTCCCTCGCCTGGCAAGGCGGTCTTGTGCCAGCCTCGGGCGCCAGGGACTCACGGGGAGGGGAAGTTAAAGGGTGCCAAACCCACCGGGAACAGCCGCGGCGGGCAGGCCCGTACCAGCCCCTCGGAGCGCTTTATCCCAGGGATGGTGTGCTCTTTTCCCCGGGCTCCACAGCCACCCCCGGCAAAGACCGGCGCTCCTACGCGCTGTTAGCGCTGCTGTGCCAACAGCGCCGTCCCCGGCCCCTGACCCAAAGCGGTGGCAGGACCCGTCGGTGCAAACCACGGCCGTCCCAAAACAGCTGGGGCTGTACGGACGAGCAGCTCCAGAGCCCCGCAGCCCCTGGCGCGCCCGGCCCCGCCGCCCGGGGAGGAACGGGCTCGCTCCCCGCTCCACACCCGGCCCCGCCGGGCAGCTCCGGGCCCCTTCTCCGCGCCCGCTCACCGGCTGCCTTTCCAGCTTCACTTCTTTCCGGAGCTGCTCCACTTCCATTTTCAGTTTGTCCTTCTCGCTCAGGTCCTCGATGTTGATGGCTGGCATCGTCTACACTACCGGAGCGCGCAGGGAGTGAGGACAAAAGGTTACGTCTGGGCAGCGAGGGCGCCGGGGCCGGAGCCCCCGGGCGGTGGCGGGGCTGTGGGACGGCCGCCCCCGGCCCGCCCCCGGGCTCGCTCACACGCTGCCGCCCGAGTTGCCCCGCTGCTCGGCCGCGGCCGCTCCCTCTCCGGCGCGCCTGCACCCCTTCCCCGCGCCGCTCCGGCCTTTAAACCTGCGCGCTAATCCCCTCTAACCGGATTAGAGCCCGGCCCGGCCCCGCTGCCGGGGCGTTGACAAGGGGCCTGCCAGCACAGGGAGGTCCGGCCATCCCAGCAGGAGCCGGGAGCTGGAAGACCCTCCTGTGCAGACCTCCCTGGCTTCAACCTCTGCAACTCCAGTGCGGGGCAAGAGCAGCGAGGTCGGCTGGGGCTTTTGGCCCAGCAGTGAGATCTTTCTCCCCACCACCTTCTCCTCCTGGCCATAGAAATGACTCATGCTCTGTGCCACCTGCATCCTTGGGCTCTGTGTTCTTCTCCCCAGCTGCTAAGGCAGAAGCAGGTGGTGTGCATGGATACCTTCCTCAATACTTGTGCATTACCACTACCGATGAACTGGACTAAGAGAGGGGAAGAAATCGCTCCTATATAAAATGCCTCAACAGGTGGCCGGCCCATCAATGCCAGACATTGCAACTTTTTGGTAGGTATGTCTGCAAAGCAGAATTGCAATGCTGGATAAGAGGGTTATTGTGCCTGGCTTGCACAAAAGTCTCTGGACACATGGAGTTATGACAGGTGTTGGGGTGGAGTACTCAACATAAGGGAAGTGATGCATTCAGAAAATGCAAGAAGGAGCTAGGGAGTTCTTCTCCTGTGGTTGCATATGGTTTTGAGGTCTAGATCCCAAATAGATTTCTATGCTTTTAGAAACCGAGTGGTCCCTCCATGCATGTTTGTACAGCACCTGGCATCTCTCATCCTAGCAGCTGCTTTCCTGCAATAGTAATGGAAGCACAATTCAGGACCCCTGAGACTGAACATAGCTACAGGCCATTAAAATGGGCTTGCAGTCCTTCTGTTATCTGCCACTTCAAAGATCTTTATAGGCAGTTAGCCCTCCCTCTTTCCTCCTCTGGTTTTTCCCATTAAACACATTTCTTTCTCCAACCTCTTCCTACTCACCAGATGTAAGCAGCTGTCAGCAGCATGTAAGATTTACATCTTCTCCAGCGCTGCTCCTATAGTGCTCTTGGGGTTTGTATTCGTTTTACTTCAGCCAGTTCACTAAGATCAGTTTTTCTCTCCCTCTCCCTATGGCTCCTGAATTCCTCTCCCCAGCTGGTGGTATGCACTTTCTACACCCCCATGACCTACACTGACAGCTGCATTCCCAAACCCCACCAGCTGCTGGTCCTGGGCCAGTCAAAACAGGTGGAAGGAGCTGGCTGGTGGAAGAAGTGTCTCAGAACAGCTTGGGCTGCTGGTGGCAGCAGAAACATTGTGGTGTGGAGAGGCAGAAAGCATGTGATGTGGGGGAGGCAGGTGTAGGGTGCAGGAGTGAGCTGAAGGAGGACTCTGGAACACCACTGGCACAGTTAGGGTGGGAAGAATTTGGTATCCATAACTCTGAAATGGAAAGCTTTCACTGACCTGTTTGCTGATATGACCAGCTCTGCAGATGACAGTCAGTAATGGACTTTCTAGCACTCGCTCTGTTAACTTATTGTGGTTCATATATTTTTAGAGATATTTATGTGATCTAAGTTAAAGCAAAGGAGAAACTGAATAGCAGCACTGATTTAATTAGGTGGCTTTAATTAATCAGGTGGCTTTAATTCAGACTTTGATTTCTATGTGTTTGTGCACAGAGGAAATGGAAAATATTGAAAATGGTATTTGTATTACAGCATTCACTTTGCTGCTGTTGTTTAAAGTGGCATTTAAATTTCTTTCTTTGCAATTCCAAAAAATGTGATGAAAACTAAAGCACATCAGTCTAGGACAATATATTAAAGAACATCATATTTAAACCACTTTAGCTTCCCACTATTAGAAAGATGACCTTTTGCTTTCTTTTGGAAATAAAAAAAGTATGTGGTTTTTTTTTGTTTGTTGGTTCTTTTCTTCTGGAGGGACATAAGTTTTGATATAGCTGCTCTGCCTAATAAGCTGAACAAAATGCTAAAAATGAGGACACCCATTAGTAACCGTTGTAGCTATACGAATCTAAAGTATGGCAGATATATGTCCCATCATGATGACTCAAGCTGCACCAGGGTTTATTTTCTTGTCGCTAAAGCACCCATTCATCCTTCAGCTACTGGAGATTCTGAAAAAGGAGGGAAAGAGATGCCATTCATACCCTTTCAGAAGTCCTGTAGGTGGGGTAGGGATTAGATTTGCTCCTTTTTTTGCCTTTATAATAAAATAAAACTATGTCAGGAAACTAAGTTGTAGTCCTCCACGACATAAGTAAAGCACAGAAGCCGTGGAGAGAAAGTCAGTTCAAGTAATCAGGGTGCTCTGAAGTGCCTCCTGCTTGCAGCCCATCTGTGGCTTCTTTCCTGCAGGCCACAGATTTCCAGGGCCCTGTATTGCAACCCATCGAGGGCAGTGCCTGCCTGCAGGACTGAGGCCCAATGTCACTGGAAAGGGAGCAGAGAAGAACAATAGGAGATCAGATTAGTTTGTCCTTATCTATGGAGAACACGCCTAATTTGCAGCCACTCTTATCTCTCTTACTATATTCAATCTGGGGTAAACACTAATTAATTCAATGTGTCTAATAGATTAGAGAGGGAAAGTATGCTGTTTGCTGCTCACCCCCTCCTCCCACAGATCACACCTCATTGCCTGGTGGGGTTACAATCTGTACAATAAACCAGGTCATTATATTTCCTGAAATCCATCCCTCTTTGCACTTTGTTGTTATCCATTCGGCCCCTCGAGTTTCCCCAAGGTCCAAGCCCTCTGACGATGCCTCAGTTTCTCAAGTTCATCAGCGTTTTACACTATGGAGGTAAACTAATGCGCGTTTGTTTCGGCGGCACTCGCTAAGCAGCCTCCACTCGATCCGGCTAGATCAGGACCTGCAGCAGGATCAGCGTTTGATTTTCGGCGTCCCACCGTCCTCTACCCGGAGCTTCCGAAAAGGGAGCGGCCTCGGGGTGGGGCGGGGGGAAAGGCGAGGATGACGAGGGAAGAGAGGGGGGCTTTCGCTAAGTGACCTGTCCCGGATTTCGCCGCGGTTTACAGGAAACGCTCTTTGAGCATCATCCCGTAACGTGAGTGGGGCGGGGGGTGGACCCCGGCCAGCTCGCCGCGGCCCCGGGGCGGAGGCCCCTGGGCTGTGGGCGGCGCAGCTCCGCGGGAAGGCAGCCCCGGCGGCGCGCCCCGCCCGGCCCCCGCTGCTCCCCGGGGCGGGGGCTGCCCGCGCCCCAGGACCGCCGCACCGCGCAGCCTTCCGCGCCCCGCTGACGGCCGGGTCAGCGGCGACCTCCTGCCCCGCTGAATCAGACCTTCCCCTCCCACCACCTGCGCAAGGAGGCGGCCCGGGGAAGCCGCCTCGGCGCATATAAAGCGCTGCCGTCGGAGGGGAAGCGCCGCTCGCTGCCCGGCCCCCGCCGCCTGCCGCCCGCCATGGCCCCCGGCCGCCGCCTGCCGCTGCCCGCGCTGCTGCCGCTGCTGGCCTGCGCCGCGCTGGCCCAGCGCCCCCTCATAGGTAGGAGCGGGCCCTCAGTGGGACCCCGCGGGTCGGGGCCGCCCCCCGGCGCGGTGGCCTCAGCCGCGGTGGGTGATGTCTCCGCAGAGAAGCAGCGCGCCTGCCTGCTGCCCCCCGAGGAGGGGCCCTGCCGCGCCCTGGTGCCGCGCTGGTACTACGACCGGCACACGCAGAGCTGCCAGGAGTTCACCTACGGGGGATGCTACGGCAATGCCAACAACTTCCTCACCTTCGACGACTGCGAGAAGAGCTGCTGGACCATCAAGAGTGAGTCCGGGGACCGGCAGTGCCCCAGAGGGCTCCAGGGTGCCAGGGGGGCTGGAGGCCACGTACCAGGGAGGCTGCTTGGCTTTGCGGGACGCTTTGCATCCGCCCGATATATCACAGAGTCTTAGCATCATAGAGTTGTTTAGGTTGGAAAAGACCTTTAAGATGGTGGAGTCCAACTGATGACCCTCCTGCTTGTTGCAGTTTCTTGCTGATGTCAGTTTTAGGCAGAAAATGCAGAGTGAGTTGACACGGAGATGACATGTGAAATTTCTCTATTAGTATTTTAAATTATTCTTAAACTTACTTGCCAATTAATGCACTGTATTCCCCCAGTAGAAAGCAGCTGGGACAAACTGGGACTTGCCTTCAACTGAAGTAACACTGTTCTGCCTACACTACCATGAGTTCTGTATGTGAAGCATGAAGGGCTGGCTTTACAGAGGGCAAAATTGTTTTTTTTTGCAGAAGTGCCCAAATTATGCCGACTGGAGGCTGATGGAGGACCTTGCAGGAGTTATCTAAGAAGATATGCCTTTAACTTGAGCTCAATGAGGTGTGAGGAATTCATCTATGGTGGCTGTTACGGAAACGGCAACAACTTCAGAGATTTGCAGTCTTGTGTGGACCACTGTCTGCCAGAAAAAAGTAATGGTTGTTCCAAGTTTTTAATAAAATAGATGGTTTGAAAGTGATATGAAGATGATACTTCATTTGATATTTTCCTCTGAATACCCATACAGTGGTATTTTTGAAGACTTGTGTAAAGCAGATGTTTATATTGTCCACTTTAATTTTAATATGTTGTCTTAGCTGTTACTGAAAGAACAAAAATGCTGAGATCTTAAATACGCCCACAGCTATACCAAATCAATTTCTTGACTTCTAGAGAGCTGTACAGGTGTATCTGAAGAGAAATAATAAGGTTGAAGGTCTGTGTTGAGGAAGATGTATCAGAGATTGTGGCAGTCACATGCAGGGAAGTGATAGTGTAATGTAAAGCAGAAGCACCTTTCTAAAATTCAGGCCTGAGAGATGGTGGTAGGCAGCTCAGGTTTTTGGCACTCAACAGCTCAGCTTCTAACAGAAGTGTTTTGTCTGATGTGGTTCTTCACTGTCTGTCCATTTGAGCTTTAGATAAAATTGGTGGCAATTATGAGCAGGTGACTGTAACTAAGTTTTGACGTGAACACCAGATTAATATCTAGTTCAAGATAGGCTCTTTGAAGATCTACCAGAATGTGTAAAAGCTGTCACTGCCCTAAGCGTTATTAGTGCATGATGACATTTATTTGTGGCTGATGACAGATTATTAGCATTTTCTTAGGTGAAAGCTGAATTATTTATGTTGCACGTACAATGAGTTGATAAAGGGGCTACAGCAGAAAAAATAAAATTTTGCTGAGGCAAAGAGAAACATGCTCTTGAGGAAAGTTGTTGGATTTGTACTCTTTGCTGCAAGCAGAATTTGCTGGGAAATTATAGCAAAGTTGTGTCTTTTTTTTCTCTATAGAGGTTGTTCCACTGAAATTATTACTGTATTCCTGTATACACAGAATAAGATTACATAAAAATCTTCGCTGTCATATGTATAGCACCACAAATGGGGGAAGCTGATGAATTTCACTTATGGGATCTAATCCTGTTTTCTAGGATGATCTGTTGCTTTCTCAAATTCACCAGGAATAATATGTAGAAAGTCTCTGAAGTCATTGGTAATAGTGTCAGTTCAAGGGAAAAAAGAGCTGTTTAGACACAAAATGTATTTCAGGATCAATTTTAAGAAGCCATATACAGAGATTACATTTATATAATTTTTCTTTGATGTAGAGAGTCTCTGAAGTCAGTGGTAATAGTGTCAGTTCAAGGGGAAAAAGAGCTTTGAGACACAAAATGTTTTTCAGGATCAATTTTAAGAAGCCATATACAGAGATTACATTTATATAATTTTTCTTTTCTCTCTCTTCTTTTTTTCCTTTGTCATTTTTTTCCCAAGCTGGCCCCTTGCTATGCTATAGCCCAAAGGATGAAGGATTGTGTTCCTCTTCTGTGCCTCGCTATTACTATGACACCAAGACTAAATCATGTAAAGAGTTCAGATATAGTGGCTGTGGTGGAAATGCCAACAACTTTGTCACTGAAATGGATTGCTACAATGTCTGTAGAAAAGGTAAGAGTTTTTTGGTTTTGGGGTTTTTTGTTTCTTTTTATTTTATTTTTTTATTTTGTCGGTCACAAGCAGTTAAACCAATCCACATACCAGTAACAAGTGTTCATAGTGTTCTTTTACTCACCTTGGCTTGCTACAGGGGTATGTTTTTTGCATTTTGGACTATTATGTTTTTAAGGCCAGGGAAAATTGAAAGAGAATGCTAAATCCTTCTGGCAAGATCAGTGTGATGTGAGGTAGTTACACCATATTTGAATGAAGTGTAGAGGAGGACACACAAAAAGACAGAGCCTACAAGAATCAGTCTTTAAACTGTTCAGTATCTCTACTACCACTAATTAAGATATACTTTTATTCTGGATAGTTTTAAATAGAATTAAAGTCAGTTGTGAAATCAATTTACTTTTTTCTTTTGCATTTTCAGAAGTTACTATCCTTCCTCAATTCCTTGTTGCCTACTCATGTTTCCGATTCACATTACTAAAGATTACTGCCTCACCAGTTGTGCTGCGTCAGCTCCTTCTCTGGCTGTGGGGGGAAAGCTTGGAATGATAATTGATTTTCCTAATGCTTTTATTCAAACCAGCTAGTGACTGTGCTTGTAAATCAGAACAGTTGTGCTCTTATTTGCAGTCATATTGCAGCCATAGCAAGTTTTAATACTCTTAATTTAATTAATTTGATAGGGAAATAAATGAGAGAGACGGAGAACTGTATGTTGTTGCCCAGAACACTTAGGAAGCAGACACAGTGCAGTATTTTAAAAATGGATACTAATGGGAAAGATATTTAAGGCTGTATCAAACTTGTACATTGTCTTTGGGAAAAGGAAAAACTAAAAAGCAGCTCTGTTTTAAACATAATAAGCACAAGATCTGAGAACTTCAGTATTGAAGTTGTATAGTCAGAAGCCTTATGCTGAGAGATGATTTGTCAGTTCTGGGCTGGAAATCCACGGCTGGGGCAAGGATTGAGCACAGTCCTCAGAAATAAAAGTTCTGCCTGCCAGTTAGTCATGACAGTAATATTTCTGTGGATGACAAGTCTGAGTGTCTCTCTGCCACTGTATTATGAGAGAGTCTCTAATCGTATGTTAAGTTTATCTGAGATGCTTGTGTTTATCTAATTTGCATCCATTACTACCTGTGAAGTGGTCAGGCCAGGCTCCAGTGTGGAGAGTGCAGGGAGAGGAGGAAGGAAACTGCTTCTTCAGCATCTCACCTCGACACTGCCCCTGCCCACACCCAGCCAGATTTACCTGGCAATTCTCTCTTCCTCACTTTTTTTTGTTTGTTTGGTTTGTTCTTTTTTCTTTGGTTCTTGTTATTGTTGTGCATGAGGAAGAAAGAGGTAAGGAGATGCTGTCTCTCTTGAAACTGGAGCACCAGATAGCCACATGCAAAGTGTCAGCTACGAGCTTTTTCATCTACTCGGGGATTTCACAGTTCAGTAGGGCTTGGTGCAGCTGAAGACCAAAGTTAAGGGCATAATTAGTGCTGATTAATGTTGTGCTATGCATATTCATTTCTGTAGCTTGGGAGTGCACAGCAACATTAAGCAAATAATTCAGGCAACTTAAGCCACTCCTCTTCTCCTGCTTCCATTATTTCCTCCTCAGCAGCTTTCATGTTACCTCTTGGAGTGTTAAGTTGAATTCAGTTGACCTTCTCTCTGCAAACATACAACTGTTTGTTAAACTGATCTGTAGTGTTTTGAGTGAAAAGGTTTGTGATGAATTTCATCTTTTAAGAGGTTATATTGGAAAAGAAAGCAAATGGATTGGGGTGACAGCAGAAGAATTGGGAACTGGCCACAGTAGTGGTAAATAGGTAGGCCTCTGCATGCTGGTAAATAGGTAGCATAAAGATTAAGATTTTTAGCTAAGATTGCAGAATACTTGTTTTCTGAATTGCTCTCACACAATTCATGCAGCCTTTGAAAGCACATCTGGCATTAGCTGTGACTGTCTTAGGCCACTCTGCAGCTTCTGTGAGTTTTGTGCAGAAACTCAATTTTATCTTTACATCTCCCACAAGCACTGGCTATGTTTTAACTTTGCCCCACTGTTTAGGAAAATATAAGAATAGGCTGGGGTATTTTGTTTGTGTGTGGTTTTTTGGTTTGATTGTTGGGTTTGGTTTTTTTTGGTTTTTGTTTTTAACAGAGGACAGTGTATTTAGTTTCATTCTGCTGTCACTGCAGGACAGCCTTGGATAAGGCTTTGATGCCTGCTCAGGAAAAGAGCAGCAAAGTAGGATTCCAGTGCCAAAGTGAACACACTGGTGACCTTACAGTGTGAGAATAGGGAATAGGAACACATGTTACAGTTGCTGGTATGTTTGTTATTATTGGACAGTGAGCAGTGTAACATGAACAAAACTCAAACAATAACAAGTGGTAACAGTTTTTTCATCGAGTTTCCCTAACTGCTTCCTTTGTTTTGTTAGCAGGAAATCAGAAACTGAGTATCAACAAGCCAACAAATGTATCCCGCAGAAAAATAGTGAGAAAACTGAAGAAAAAGTCTCAGATGTATAACCTGAAGTCTTAAAGCTGATGTGCTTTTGGATGTTTGAAACACTTTTTATCAATTCCACTTTTTTATTTTGTAAGATATTTTTCACAAAGTTTTATACTGACATAGTTCTGTCATTCAGAGCTGCTTTTTATGCAATTTACCTTTTTATAAGGAACTGCATTTAATAGAAGAATGAACCTAAGTTTGGTTCTTCTGCTGTGTTGTCTTTGCAATAATATTTTGGAAAGACTTGTTTAGATTTCCATATTTTTATGGGGGGAATGTTTCAGCTGTTGCAAATCAATTAAAATTTGAAAAATCAAATATCTGTTATTAGAAATAAGGAGAGTCCAACACTGAAAATCTATCATGAATTTAATTTTTTTTTGCATCCTCTGCTTGCTAAAGAAAAGGAAATTTTCACAAGTGTGTTCAGAGGTTTATTGCCTTGCCATTTACATACTTTGGCCCTATCATTTAGATAGACTGTCAGAAGCCTTCATAACAGTAAAAGAAGTATAAATTTAAATGCAGCTCATCCTGCAGAAGAGAATTTGGATTAGGGTTGCCTTGATAAACACTCTGACTAAGGCAATGAATAAGCTAGTTGAGTATTAAAATAAAAATGTAGCCGTTACTTTTCCATGACATTTGAAAATTTTGCTAAGTTAGTCCAGATCTTCATATGGCATTAATCAGCATAGTTTTGCTGATTTTAATGGAGCTATGCTGATTACATCTGCAGAAGATTTTGATATTTGTGATAATGCAGTGGCTGTTGAAGCAGAGCAGCAGAAGTTTCTGCAAATTTCATCTACAAAAGAGTAATCCCTCTTTTGAGGCACTTTTATATTTCTTATGGTAGGTTATGCCTATGGTGATACTTTTGCACATTCTTTTATATTTTGTATTTTAGTCATGTCTGAATTTCAGTTAATTTCACCTACAATATTTCATAAGTAATGTTAATAAAATTTTTTTTGTGAAAAAAAAGCTTGTTTTGTCATTATCCTGAATGAGTTGTATAGACCAATATGTGTACTGGAACCTGTAATTTCTTAATTATGACTCTAACAGAGTTTAGTTGTCTCTTCAATTATTTCCTTACACTGAGGTCTGTATTTGAAGAAAGCCAATAAATTGCATTGATATTAATCATCCCCAGCAGTTTTGTAGCTCAGCTGGCTTTCTCAAAAGGCCTGCTCTCAAAGGGGTGCTTAGTTTAGTTTATTGTCTGCTGCTGGGTCTCCTGTTTGATGTTGCACTATCTGAATAGCTTTTGTGTGGGTAACAAGCTATTTGTTTGAAATTTCACTGGCTTTCAGTTAGAATAATTCAGGTGTGTGCTTTAAACCTCTTTTGGAGAGGGAACATGACGGGCAAACTAGTCAAGATCTGATTTGGTTATTGATGTTTCTCTCACTGCCAGATTTTCAATTAAAGCAGTTGTCTGTGCTTGCCATTGTCTTTCTGTCACTCCATTTCTGATTTGTGGTCTCAAAACCCCTTTTTATTTTAATCATCTCTTGCTTGGTGCAGATGAGTGAGGACACTGTGGCAGACAATGGCAGGTAACTAGTGACACAGTTTTGAGTGTTTGTCCCATGCCAAGCCTCTTGGTATCCAGCCTTCAAACAGAAAGGGGCCAATATAACCTCCCTGCGGGGAGCCAGGGCACGATACCTGTGGACATTGCCCATATCCCTTCCTGCTGGTTGTGAACTTTGGCTGTGCTGTTTACAGCAGCAGCCCAGAGTGTCCTCTGAATAGCTTTTCATACCTAACACTGACTTTTAGGGCTGTGTTCATTTCATGTTCAGACCATGGCTTATAAAAACATAAGCCTGCTTAGGAAGTTGAAATTCAATTTAAACAAAGTTTATAACTGTAAAAGATTGTCTTTTAACAGCAACATGGCTATATAATATATATAATTTTTGGAATTGTGTTTGAGGAATTACTGTTAGTCCTTATCTCTCTGTGTCTTTGACTTTCACAGGAGTATCTTTGGATGAGATGCAAAAGTGGACTTAGAATTTAAAGGGAGCCCCAAATCTGAGAGCAGCTTCACTCTAGTTTTTGATCCAGAATTGGGTGCCTTCTCACACATCATAGCATGCCCTGCTCATGTCCTGGAAAGGATCCAAGAGTTTGGCACTCCTCTGTTCATGCCAACTTGGGGCTCAACAAGAGCTGTCTTGATAGACTAGGATGCTGCAGTGACCATTGCAGCACCCTGTGTAATGCACTGCTGCATGGGCACTTTCTTATATAATTTAAAGGCTAAGGGCTTGCTGCTCAAGTACATAGTGAAATATCACAGGCTTGGGTTTTAATCCCTTATCTACCTGGTATCATGTAGAAATTTAACATAAACCATGTTTTTCACAGGGTTTCATAGTGAGCAGGCTGTAGAGTATTCTGGAGGAGGTGGGGCAGGGAAAGGAAGTGCTCATGGAAGATTTTTTTCAGTTCCTTATTGAAGCTATTACATAAATTGTACCATATTTCCAGGTAAATGCCTTCATCTCATTTTTTTTTTAACTACAAAGTTTCAGCTGTCATTGTGCTGCTCTGCTTTGTCTTCTTAGGTTACTCTTACATCCCTTCAGCCTACCGTGAGTTTGACTAGTATAAACACTCGTCATCTAAAGACCTTTATGTGATTCATTACTTACTTCCTTTTTCAGTTTGCTGATGAAATAACACTGGCCCAAGGTTGGGCCAACTGTTAGTGTTTTGCCACATTGAAAATTAATGCAGGCCATACCATCCTGCAAATTAACTTTTATTATAGTAGCCAATGTCCAGCATCTGGTATTGTGTGTCACAGTGCAAATTTCTACTGCAGAGGAGGGAAGCAGTGATTATAATCAGTTGGGTTTGCATAGGCAAGCTGCCACTGAAACTCCTGACTAGTGATTTGCACAGGACAGTCATACCTGCCACTGAAAAGTAGTTGCTGGAATAAGCAGATTTTAATAAACTGCATTGCAACATCCCTGCTCTTTAACTTTCCTTGTGACCCATAATTCCAGATAATTTCTTAGTGATATATTGCAAAGAACTGTATAAAAATTATAAAAATTAAAATCTGCACTGATTCTTCATCATGTCTCAGTACTCAGGGAATTGCTTTGTAAATTGTTTCCAGAGCAGAAGATTGGCTTCATCTTTATATTTCAATGGAACTTTAAATGTCAAAAAGAGAAAAGAAAAAAAATCCATGTGGAAGCAGATAATATTTTTATTGATAAGCTACATGATGGCAAGCACATATAATTTTAACAGTGATTTGCCCCAATAAAAGGCTGTCTCATAATTCCATACTTTAGTAGTGAACTGACAATGAGTTCAGCTTGAATGCTTGGAGTCAGATTTCTGATTACCAGAAGCATTCCTGTTTCTCTGTCACTTCTCATCAGTTGAGTAGGTGGAAACCGTGGAACTTTTTTTTTAGAAAGAAACATTTTTTTAGAAACAATGGGCCATGTTAAAAAAAAAATAAATCCCTAAACTTGTGTTTCAGATCAGAGGTGAGAGATTTTATCCTGAAGCTTGCAGTCAGCCGTATGGCTGAGGGCAGCTGTTCTGACCCAGGCAGGGATAAGAATTCTGTTCCAGTAGAGAAACATAGTCCAGCTGTGACTGTGTGAATCTGGAAAAAACACACTGTGGATGTGCCAGGATTATGCATTTACAGCAGTGTTATTGAAAGTAAAATCTGCTTCATTTTCTTTCTAATAAGAAGGACCGTCACTTAAAATAATTAGCACAGAAATACATGCTTTTGTTGAAGTAAGCCTCAGTTTTCAGTGTCTGGTGGTCCTGTTCAGTAATGTCTATTATCTGATAAATTGCTTAATTGCTGAGGAGAAGGGGTGTTAATCATATGCAGCCTAATGAACAGCAGTGATATTTAAAAAGTAATCTATGTAAACAAGAAGCACAAAAGCATTTGCCACTGTTGTGATCGTGAGCTGTGAATTCCAAATAAATTCCAGAGAAATGAGTGTTCCTAGCTCATGTGTGAACTATTAATGAAAGATAGTTTAGGCAAGTTAAAGACTAATCTATGAAATGTGGAGCATTGTATCTATTATGTGGGAATAAAAAAAGTCACTTTTAATGAAGGTTCCTTTTGTACTGGCAGTGCTGACCAAAATTTCAGATGAATGTGGACAAAACTGGTGCTCTTCCAGACTGATCAGATTAGGTGCCTATCTGCTGTTGTGTGAAAGGTTTTAAATGCAGTTGCTACTCAAAACACCTCACATTGTCTGGCTTGGTGGGGCTAAACTTCAAGCTGGTGAGCATACAGGAATCTTAAATCTTATTACTTCCTAGGCCAGATCCCCATGAAATGCCTTAATATATTAACTACAGGTTAAGTACTTTATCTGCCAACTGAGTTACAATGGTTTTGCCCAGTGAGCTTTTTTGGAGGTAGAGCACTACTCAGGAAGTTTGCAGCAGCTTTTCTAAGATGGCAATGCCTGTTTACATTAAGGCTCAGAGTGAAATGCAGTAATAAAACTCATAGTGTCTAATAAATGCATATGAAAACTGTTCTCTGTGAGTTTTTTTCCCTCTGCGTGGGAAGCAAGATAAAGAGGTTAGATTATACTAATAAAAGCTATTTAAAAAGTCAAGAGAGTAGAGAGTGAAAAATATACCACATAACCAAATCCGAAGGGAGCTTTCCATCATTCCAGTAATTTTCAACAGGGAGAATCTTGAATTTCACTGATGTTGAAAAAGAACACTTTATAGAAATGCCTCCAGTAGAAAGTAGCCCAACTCGCAAGTCTTCTCCGCCCCCCCCCCGCCCGCCTTTGTTTTGTTTCTCTAAAAGTGGGAAGGAAGTCCAATGAGAAAAAAGTGATGACATGGCATTTACTGCTCTCTCATGGGTCCAGGCTGCTGCACTGGAGCAAAAGTAGCCTGTACGATTTCCACTGTGCCAGCCAGAGGGACTCTACCACGGTTTCAACAAGAGCTGGAGTGAATCCAAAGACTTCAATAACCTCCTTTTAAGTGCAGAAACATGATCTTGCACAGAGCAGTGTTCCCCTGCAGCAGCACATGCATCTGCTTTACCTGAGATCTACTTCACCAGTGTCTATCAGTGGGTGCAAGCAATTAAACAAAGGCTAAACAAAAAGTTTCCAAACTTCATTTCAGTGCATACAGAGTTGGTGAATGTGATTGCTTGATCTGGTGGGGCAACTAACTCATTGCTTTACTCCAATACATCTTTAAACAGGGTTAGAATGAAAACTGCTACGAAGCCTATTTTACAAAAACACTGGAAAATATCTGTTTTAATATTACAGGTGTTTCCTTGATTAGGTTTTCTCAGGATTTGTTCCTTCCACCTTTTTCAAGACTTCTTTTAAAATCTAAAACAATATTCAGAAAATTAGAGATCTGTTTATATTGAAGCAGGAATTTAGTATGTTTGAATTCATCAGATATTTTGGATACTCTTTCCAATAGATTACACATTAGTAGACACCTAAATGCCCCTTTGGTACTGGCAATTAAAATGAGTTCCTTAAGTGCAGTTTTGTATCCTTCTAGTGTGAAATAACCTAAGGAATACACGAAGAAAACTGTACAGTATGACTCACATAAGTTTTAATAAAACTACGTTTACTAAATAAATTCAGTTTACTAAAAAGTAAATGGGTCACTGAAGTAGTGCTCACCTCCTTTTTTCTCCAATTTCCATTTTTTTTTATTTGAGATTGAAAAAATATTATAGACTGTACTCTGCAGTAATGCAGATAGAAATCTGCTCTTGAACTCCAGATATAGGGTAAAAAAGTTATTTGCAAAACTATTGCAATAGAGCTGATAGAGAGTTATCCAACTCTTCGTTGCCTCATTTTTGTACAGACACCTGCAGTTTTTCTATCCTAAACAGACAGAAATATGCCTTTAAATATGATAGTGAGCACTTAGCATTGAAGTTTGAGGTTTTATTTTTTCTCCTTATTGAGAAATCTGCTCTTGAACTCCAGATATAGGGTAAAAAAGTTATTTGCAAAACTATTGCAATAGAGCTGACAGAGAATTATCCAACTCTTCATTGTCTCATTTTGTAAAGACACCTGAAGTTTTTCTATCCTAAACAGACAGAAATATACCTTTAAATATGACAGTGAGCACTTAGCATTGAAGTTTGAGGTTTTATTTTTTCTCCTTATTGAGAAATCTGATTTCTCAAAATAGCTTTCTGATTTCATCCCATAAAGTGTTAGGGAGGAGCGTGCTGAGTCTCAGCTGCAAAGGGTGAGGCTTCAGATCTCAGAGCCTCAAAATGCCCTCAAACTATTTATTGCTGAAACCCTCTGCTCTGTGAAAAAGCCACTGACAAACAGTTCAAATGGCTTTCTGGAGAGAAAAGAGATAGGACATACCTTTAGCTCT